TATATATATATATATATAGTATATATATATATATATATATACCCTTTAGATAATATATGATAAAATATGACCCCAAACATCATCAGATTTTCCTGAAGTCCTGAAAGACAGTTTTTACAGTTTGCAGCAATAACTGCAGCTAAACATTTCTTGTAACTGCTGATCAGTCCTGCACGGTGACTTGTTGGAATTTTAGCCCATTCTTCGGTTGAGAAACCCTTCAACTCTGTGATGTTGGTGGGTGTCCTCCTATGAACTGCTTCCTTCAGGTGTTTTCACAACATTTCAATTGAATTAATGTCCGGACTTTGACCTGGCCATTCCAAAACATTAATTTTGTTCTTCTTTAACCATTCTTTAGTAAACCAAATTGTGTGCTTAGGGTCATTGTCTTGCTGCATGACCCACTTTCTCTTGAGACTCAGTTCATAGACAGATGTCCTGATATTTTCCTTTAGAATTTGTTGGCATAATTCGGAACTCATTGTTCCTTCAATGATGGCAAGCCGTCCATTTTTACACAATATGTCTGACTATGGATTTGTAGAGTCCAAACACTTTAGAGATTTTTTTTAAGCTTTTCTGCCGGATGAACAACAACAACTCTTTTTCTGAGGTCCTCAGAGATCTTCTTTGTTTGTGCTATGATACACTTCCACAAACATGATCAGACTTTGATAGATCCCGGTTCTTTAAATAAAACAGGGCAGCCAATGACACCTGATAGTCATCTCAGTGATTGAAAACACCTCTGAACAGATAAACGCTCCAGTTACTAACATAATCTCAGTTCCCTGAGATAAGGGAATGAGCATTGCGTCGCTGACATTTATGGGAAAACTCCTGTTTACTCTGATACTGAAGCCTGATTTTTTCTTGTTCGTGTAACTGCACGAACTAATGGTGCTTCAACCCACCAAAAGGGGAGGAGCCGACCGCTATATAAGTCAGAGCCGAGTGCCATTTCGTCAGAATCTTTCAACTGAAGTGACAGTCATCGATTCGTGTGCAGCCTTATAGCACAGCAGCCGACGCAATGCTCATTCCCTTATCTCAGGGAACCGATGTTACGTTAGTAACCGGAGCATTCCCTTCTGAATGGTCTCTACCGTTGCATCGCAGTTGCTTATGGGGAACACATCCAATAGCACCATGCTATAAGCAAGTGCAGAACTAAGCCGCTCTGCAAGCACAGCCCCTGAGCACCCGTACTGAGGGCTCCAACATGCATGAGCTAATATGAGCCCCAAGCCGCTTAGGCTGAAGACTACATAACATAACCCTTTCCACTTACAAAGGGGATTAGGTAGAATTAAGCAGACAAGATCCGTGCCTGCAAGGCAGGGACATCCAAGTTATAAAATCTAGTGAAGGTAGATGGCAACGACCAGCCAGCGGCCGCACAAATATCACCAATAGAAATCCCACACACCTACAGCAGGACACTGCAAGCCTGCTGAGACATAAGCCAGGGCTATAGCATAGACTGTTCAGCGAGACTATCCAGAAAGAGGGTGGTCTTAAGTGACAGGGGCTGCAAGTCAGCCAACTGGAGAGGCTCAAAGGGAAGACCTCGCAGAGCCCTGAGGACTATAGATAAGTCCCAAGTTGGCACAGTATGAGGGCGAGGCAGATTCAATCTCCGAGCTCCCCTCAGAAACTTAACGACTAGATCATTTCTGTTGACTGACTGGCCAGCCACGAGAGAATGATTCGCCGCGATGGCTTCCCCATATAATTTGAGCATGGAAGGGTTGCACCCCTTATGCGGCAGCTCTTGTAGAAAGGTTAGCACGTAGGACACGTCGCACAATGAAGGCTCCACAGCTCTGCCCGGGGATGGCAAGTCATGCCCTTTGCTTGGGGAACCACATCTGATTCCTCCAGGGTGGTGCCACCAAGAGGACTGAGCATCTGACATCCCTGACCCGTTTGATGACCTGAGGAAGCAGGGGATGTAGTCTCCATTCTCCTGGAGCTACATTGTCCCTGGACAGCATGTCTGCCCCTTGGTTCAGCCTGCCCAGCACATAAACTGCTCTCAGTGAGAGGAGTTTGCCTTGTGCCCATAAATGGAGGCCTCGAGCAAACCTGTGAAGGGAGCGTGACCTGAGACCACCTTGGTTATTGATAAAGGCTACCACCGTCATGTTGTCTGAACAAACCAGGACGTGGTGCCCCCTTAAGGCCAGTAGGAAGATATTTAGGGCTAGAAAAACCACCATCATCTTGAGGAAGTTGATGTGTAAGCATTGCTCCAGGTTTGACCAGGAGCTGAACACCGGTCTGCCCTGGTACAGAGCTCCCCAACCCGAGTTGGAGGCATCTGTTGTGACCACCTTCCTTCTGGAGGTCGGTCCCAATGGGACGCCTGATTGAAACAGGCAAGAAGTTTTCCAAGGGGCCACAGCTCTAATGCAGCGGTGGGTTACCCTGATATGAAAACATCCCAGGCGCCAAGCATGGGAAGGGACATGGGCTTTGAGCCAATACTGAAGAGGCCGCGTGTGAAGCAGGCTCAGAGGAATCACAGAGGAAGCGACCAACATGAGGCCGAGCATCCTCTGGAAATCCCCTGAAGTCCCCAGTTTGAAAGACGCCACTAGCCGCTGAATAGTCAGGGAGTGTTCCCAAGGGAGTGTAACTGTCCCCAGAAAGACCACTCACTGGCTGGGAGACAAAGAGCTCTTGACTAAATTGATTCTCAACCCAAGCCGCTACAGGTGGCTGAGCAGCAGCGACCTGTAAGAGATGAGATCCCATTCTGATCCAGCTAAGACCAGCCAGTCGTCTAGGTAATTCAGAATGCGGATTCCCATCTGTCTCAGAGGGGAAAGAGCCATGACTATGCACTTCGTAAAAGTGTGTGGGGCCAGAGACAGTCCGAATGGCAGGACGGTATACTGATAGGCCACTGCCTCGAATGCGAATCTCATGAAAGGCCTATGATGGGGGCTGACCAATCCAGGCCGAGATCCTCCACAGCTTTGGTTAGAACGCGGATCAGCTCGCTGTCCACACTGGGCCATATTGTCTGCATCGGAGGCGGGGTTTCAGGCTCTTCGCCGGAACACACCCAATCTTCAGCATCTGAAGCCGTCAATGACAAGGAGTCATTAGTGACACCCTTCTCAGGTCCGCCAAAGGAAATCAAGCTGCTCGCAGCCGATGAGGGGGCGCTGATCCTCACGTGTGAAGCACACAGGTGGATTGAAGCGTTGGGGGGAGAATGAAGCATGCGAGAGGTGCTCTGGCGTAAGTTCATTCAAACCCCGTGTTTGAGCCCCGCTGCTCCGCTGTTGCTTCCTTCTAGGGGAGAGAGGAAACAGGAGAGCAGAGCGTGGAGGACTGCCTTCATTAAAGAAGGTTATCCACGAGTGGAGAAGGGCGAGACTCATTCCGTCCCGGCGGGCGCAGCCTCTGCATGGGCACTGCACAGACAGGTGACGCACTCACCGTGCCCATCTGCATCATGCAGGGGTTCCCTGTACAAGCCACACTGGCAGCGCGACATCTGAAACAACGCACTGAAAATTTGCTCTTAAATGCACCGGATGGCCGCAGGGGAAGGCTTCTGGCTTCTTCCGCTGCCAGGGGCTCCTTCTTACGGCAACGAGCAGCAGACTGAGCTTCTTTCTTGCAGAGTCAGCAAGGAGATCATCTTCGTCGCTGAAGGAGAAAAATTCTGAAGAAATGGAAGACCACTTATATAGCAGTCGGCTCCTCCCCTTTTGGCAGGTTGAAGCGCCATTGATTTGTGCAGTTACACGAGTCTGAACAAATCAGGTTTCAGTATCAGCGTAAACAGGAGTTTCCCCGTAAGCGTCAGCGATGCAATGGGAAAGACTGTTCTAAAGGGAACTCTAATTTCAACTTTCAATTAACAGCTAATCCTATAGATTCACATAATTTTGCCACTCACAGATATGTAATATTGGATCATTTTCCTCATTTGTTTGATTGTGTTCTCTTCGTCTACTTTCAGGACTTGTGTGAAAATCTGATGATGTTTTGGGTCATATTTATACAGAAATAAAGACAATTCTAAAGGATTCACAAACTTTCAAGCAGCACTGTACAGTATATATACTGTATATATATTGCAAAATATGCATATGCAAGAAAATAACTTTTTTCCCCCCCTACATTGCAACACTATTGACAATAGATGATGGTACGGAGCCCCTAAGGGGACACGGTGATGGGAAAAAATATTAGATGGGAAAATTAAAAGAAATTGTATTTCAATGCTTTTGCATTTTCTTGCAAAAGTATTGTGTTCTCTAGAAAAATATTTGCGTTCCCTGAGAAACTTTGCGTTCACTTACAAAAGCACTCCCACCTCATATTATTTCCATCACAAAAGTTTTGCAAGCGAACACGAAAGCATTGAACATTATATTATGTTAACACTGTGTTATGTTAAATATCAAACATTGTATTATGTTGAATATTAACATTTTTTGTGTCTACTTGTTAATGAGGGATTTGTGAACACATCAATGTTTTTAGATTAGTTAAAGTTAAAGCTAAAGTTAGTTAAATAGTTTTTATTTTGAAGTAAAAAGATCCAATTAGTTCCCCGTTGGAGGGGGGGGGCATCTTACCCCTCTTTTAATTTTTTTTTATATTTTGTGCAATAACAATTAAATCAGCAAATGTTTCTTTTTATTTCCTATAATAACACATTGATGAATGCATCATCATCCCGCACATGCTAAACGTATATCTAAATATTTAAAAGTAAATCCAAATTGTTCTTAAGGGGGCATCTTCCCCTATCTGTGTCAAGGATATCATCTGTATTTTTTTGTTCCATGAAAGAGCAAAGGCCATAAGGCATCACTAGATGCTTTTCTAAAGAACTAGAGAGTGAAAAGTTCTTTCATGTGGCCTCAGTCTGTAAAACCTTTTTTGATTTCAACTGGAACATTGAAGCATGTGTCTATGAGTGGAATGAGAGTAAAATCTCCCAAGATCTCCAACAGAGCTGAACATGCTCTTTAAAGAATATTTGTATATTTGGGAACGTGTGACTGAAGGTTTTGCGTTGCTAGAGGGCTGTGAGAAGGTGACACCCAGCATATGATCCTGAAAGCTCGTGACGGCTTCCGCATCACCCCCTCCCTCCCCTGACTGACATCCGCCCGTCATAAACCCCTGCCCCACTGCTGCAAGTAGCCAGGGGCTGCGCAAACAGAGAAGTCCTGCAACGGATGGATGGATGAACTGGAGGCCAGTGCACAGACAGATACAGAGACAGACAGAGCACCAAAGGGCAGGTGGCTTAGCAGACAGCTGTCCACTGCCGTGGCCAAGTCACTCAACTCAGGGGTCAAGAGATCTTTGTGACAAATATAAGAGTACGGATGGAAGGAATGAAAAAGATGAGGGCTGATAAGGTTTGAGACCTCCCTTAGGAGAGGTTGATGGAGTGAGGAGAGGCCGTGACAGATGAGTGAGGCAGTTTAGATCAACAAAGCTAGTCCAGACCCTCAATCTAATGTGATTCTTGCCACGAGAGCGATATCAGGATGCGGAAACGAAGGGCTGAGGGAGAGATATAATAGAGAGAGGGGGTACAAAATGGGAGGAATGAGAAACTGAAGATGAGTACATGACTTCTGACATACAGGAGCAGACAGGGGTCAAGATGCCGAAATGAAGGCGTCTGGAGAAACCGACCATGACCTTGTTCACATTACACACAAATATAATTTGGTTTTTAAATACCATATTTTGGACTGATTCATTTTACAAGTGATGAAATCAGATCCATTTGTTCTGACAGCATAATTAATATCTTCTATACCTACATTTATAGCTAAAATAATTATTTAGATGTGATTTTATATGAAGGATATCACTGAATTAGGTTTTCTGAAATATCAAACCTATCTTTGTGACTGCTTTCTGTAAGGTTATTTGTTTAGCCAATCAGAAAACTTGGTGCTTTCTGTCTGTCAATCATATTGTGAGATCACAGTGGAGTCTGTGTATGGGAGAGTTATCTAAAATTAAAATTAAAACAGAAAATATAAATAAAACTATTTAAATATTAATAAAAATTACTATTATAGTATCTCGATACTAAAATGTCCATGCATGGCGCATCACATTCTATTTTATATAATATAATCATAATAATAATCTTAATAATAATTAACTAAATCATTTTGTTTCTTCTTATTTATGTTAACAATAATATACATAAGGATGTTCTGTGATACATTTCTGTAATTAAGTCAATGTTTATTTAAATATGTTATTGTCGTGTGTGATATCCTGATGGTGTTTTGTTTTTGTTTGCATGACACTGTCCACCATCTATATACTAGTATGGGCTATGTTTTATGAACAGATGACTTACAATGAAATCTGATTCATCATGTGGCTTTCTGTTTTATCCCCTGTATTATCATGATGGTTATCAGTACATTTTAACTTAGAAAGCATATTTGGTAGTTTAAGTGGTATATTATATCACTTAATAAACTTAATATTTATGGTTATAGGTTGTAAATTAAAAGACACCAATGTCAATGACAGGTGCTGGTTTTTTACTTTACATTTCACATTATATATATGTGTGTGTGTGTGTGTGTGTGCGTGTGTGCGTGTGTGTGTGTGTGTGTGTGTGTTTGTGTATGTATAAAGCAAATGCTGTGTAATTATCATTACAAATAATTTTGATAAATATATGTTAATATTTATTTTAAATATTCATTTTGAAATATGATCAGAAAATTCAGTCTGAATAATACTTTTAAAACTGATGAAAATGTTTTTTGATTTTAAAGGTTCAGCTAGATATGACTCCATTAAAGGCAGGGTATGTGATTTTTCAAAAACACTTTAGAAAACTGATTCAGGCCGAATCGCAAAACAAACTTGTAGCCAATCAGCAATAAGGGGCGTGTCTACTCGTGATGTGGAGGAGAGCGCGTTCAGTGCATGGGACGGACATTAGCCGAGCCGAGCGACAGAAAGA